ATAATACTGAAAATAAAGACAAACATACAAAAAAAAAAAAAAACTATTGCCATTGAGTGGGTTCTGACTAATAGTGACCCTATCTCTGTCAATTATTGATTATTAGCCAGTCATTATGCTAAATATTAAGGGTCCCTGATAATGGCTAAGCACTTGGCTGCTAACCAAAAGGTTGGTGGTTCGAACCTACCAGCCACTCTAAGGGAGGAAGATGTGTTGGTCTACTTCCATAAAGATTATAGCTTTAGAAACCCTATGGGGCAGTTCCATTCTGTACTGAAGCGTCCCTATAAGTCAGTATTGACTCCATGGCAATGAGTAACTTGTAATTGTAAATTCTTTCTCTGTCTCTTTGAAAAGAATGTAAATCAAGGATGTTTCCTCATGGACCTGGGAGCCATCTCTTTTGAAATGTAGTCATCAAGGAACTTCATACCCTTACCTCCCAGTTTCCCACAAGATCAGCATAACTTAAGGTATCCTGCCATAAGGACACAAGATATTTGGTAATTTTATCTCAAGAACATGAATGTAATAGGTTGTATCCATTTACCTAACTGAAGAGTAAGATTCCTTTCTGTCTATGAACTCTCTTTAGCAAACTGCGTGTGATGCTCTATATTCTTACTTAATGCTTATTCAATAATAAAATTTTTCTTTCTCTTCAGAAAACCCAGGGGTTTTGTGGGTTGGGAGTAGATTTTGCCTTTAGTGACTTTTCTCCAATCCTTGTGGTATGATGGAGAGGAGCCAAGTTTAAACACATTATAAAGTGATGAAGAGAAAGCAAAGGAGCATTCAGAAGCAGTGACAGGAATACACCATAAAGTGATCTAGACTTGAGCCAGGAGACTGTTGTTGTTGTTAGGTGCTGTAGAGTCGATTCCAACTCATACTGAACCTATTGTCTCAGGAAAAGAAAACTTACAGTGCAATCAGTGAGACAGAGGCATAATATGCTGACCCTGCTATCTAATTTTAATCTGGATTTCTAGACTAACAGCTATGTTTTTTGAGAAAAACATGTTTTTCCTTGGTGGTCAAAATGAGGATGTGAAACCATATGCCACTAGGGGCCTCAACAAAGTGATCATCTGTACCCGCCAAAATACACATACTCAGGAAGAGCACTGTCTGGGTGCTGTTGCCAGCAAGGTATTTTTGCAAGGTAGACAAAATGCATGTAAGCATCTTGTGACCATGATCTTGTGAAACTGTCTGTAATCACTAACTATATTATGAATAATCAGTAACCAATCAGAGTCTGATTATTAAAACATTCATTGATTTTCCTGTAATTGCTCTCCCTGTGGTTTGGTTCTTCTTTTTACCCTATAAGAATACTTGTATAATCAAACTGCGCTGGGACTACCTGGGTCCATTTTCAATGGGCTTCGTAGTTCTCCAGCTGCAATTGTTTTAAACCGTTAATAAGCCTTTCTGTTTTAACTTGAAACAGCATTCAAGTTTTTCTCTACAACACCATGTACAACAGAATGAAACACTGCCTGGTCCTTCACCATCCCCACAACTTTTGCTATGTTTGAGCCCATTGTAGAGCCAGGAGAATTGTACAGAAAAAAAGATTTCCATTCAACATGGAGAAATCCCTTGGTTTGAGCAGCAATGGTAATTATAACCAGAAATCATTGAGCAATGATGGTTTTCTTACTACTCAAAGTTATACTGGACTCTGTAAGGAAAATACAAATTGAATAGAAGAAATTTTAATTCTCCTCGTTGAAAATAGGGAAGAGATTCCCCTCCTGCCCTGTTCTTTCAGAATTCACTTTATATAACTCATAATTTTAACTTGTTTATTTGTCTCTTTGAATAGTATGCAAATCTAAGAGGTCTCCTCAAAGATCTGGCAGCTACCTCTTTGAAATGTAACTTCAGGTGATTCTCCCCATCTTCCTCTTTCCAGGAAGGAGCTTAGCATAAATTTAAATGGCCCAGTCCTCTCTCTAGGACTGAAAGATTAGAAAATTAACAACTATCTTGAAAATATGAATGTAATGGATCATATCCCCTTAGATATTTAATGGTTGAGATTTCTATTTGTCTTTGCAATCCTTTTCGTGGATTGCCTGTGATATATCACCTTCTGATTTAATCCTTATTCCATATAAGACTGTTCTTTCTCTTTTATTTTTGAGGAGAGGTTGTCTGGGTTGGGAGTAGATTTCCTTTTAGTATCCTCACCAGCAATTCTTAAAAGCATATGACTTTCATATTTGATAGCACATATACTGGTATTGAAATCAGAATACAGTAAATCATTGTTAACCAAACTGGAAATGTTTTTTTCTTTCAAAATGTGCTTTAATGCTGAAAAACGGGAGCATAGGAGCAAATGTATTCAGTGTACAATATCGGTCTTTAAAATACTTTATTGCTGTATAGGCTGTAATTTTGTCATAATAATATTTAATGTTTACTGAGTTTGTTCCAAGTGTCAAGCTCCTGAACTGTACAACTCTATGAGGTATGTACTATTACCATCTCCGTGTAACCGGACTGTTCCAGTTCTGCTCAGCGCGGCCACAGAAACACAAAACATATGAAAGCCAAAGCTTTATTTGGTTGGCCAAGCAAAGCAGCACACCACGGCTTGCATGCCAACATGCCAACATAGCTCTCAGGACAACAGCCCAAGGGGTTTATACGGGTGAAGTAAATTGGGTCAGGGGTCTTCAGGAACGCCGGGAGGTGGGGCCAGCTTGCTGATTGGTCTGGCTGGAAAAGGCGTTCCTGGGGCAGTCTGGCCTTTCTGCGCTTGCTCAGTCAAAAAAGGCCAGGTGTAGGGTGGGGGGTGTCTCTCAAACCGGATCTTAAGCTTGAACCCGTGGCCTCTGAAAGCCTTCCCCCAATCTTGGACCACTAAAGTTTGGTTCCGTCTGATGGGAGCAGAGTTTGGGGTCGCCCAGAGGATAGGTGGATGGTTCTGCACATGTCAGGTGGGCCAGATCTAGTTCTTGCCAGTTTCAGCTAGTCCTGCAACCTCAGTCTCTTGTTTTCCTCAACTTGGCCAGGAACAGGAAGCATACCTAAATAAGGAGATAGCTTAAAGACAGGGAGTTACTTCCTGTATTACAGAAGATGGCAGGCACAGCCCTTTGTCTGTTCAAGATGGTGGGCAGGCTGCCGGTCTCATCCATTTTACAGATAATATTTCCATATAAAGAAGTTAAGTATCTTGCTCACTGTTCCACTGACTCTGTTAGTAAGTCTAATTAGGCTGGGGTTCATTTCCCTGCAGTCTGGCTCCTAAGTCTATGACCTTAACCATGCACTATACTGCTTTTTAAAGAAATTTTCTCTTAGAAAGTTTTACTTCTGTATGAATTCCAATGGTTTGGCCATTGTGTTTTAAGTGATGAAGTTAATTGAGAGAAAAGTGGTTAAGCCTTGAGAATTAAAAAACTTGAACTTTTTTTAAATTGAAAAATAATGCATGTTAAATTACACAAAAATTAGAAGATTCAGCTCACCCAAAACCCATTGCCAACAAGTCGACTCAGTCTCAGTGTGGTAATGAATCACTTTACAGAGCAATTTTGCCTTTTTCCTTGGTTCCTGAGAGATAACCATTGGAATTTTCGGAGCAAATTCAGTGCCTTTATTACTTAAAACCTCTGGGCATCACCTGAGGATTTATGTTAATGATGGGTGCTGGCCTGACCTGAGAAAGACTGTCATCACAGCCTAATTGCAGCTGACCTCAGGGAGGGAAAGAGGGGAGTGCGATTCAATCAATCATGCCTATGTAATGAAGACAATAAAAGCTCCAGACACTGCCGCTCCAAGATTTCCCGGCTGGTGAAAGACATGTATGAACATTCGAGGGTAGCTTTCTCTTTTTTGGATGCTCAACCTTCGTGATGGAAACCCTCCCAGACATCACCCCATGCTTACCTTCTTTGTACTGATCCTAATTTTGATCCTCTTGCTAGAATCCGTAAGCTAAGTATTGAACTTTCGTGAGTCCTTCAAGTGAATTATCAAACCCAAAGGAGTAGTGGGAACCAGCAGGTAAAAAGTGAGGGGGAACCCAGAGGCATTTTGAAGGGCTAGTGGGAAAACACTGAATTTGTGGCCACCAGGTAAGAAGTAAAGGTGTTGTGTGGACCCCTCATCTTATGGCTAGCGCTTGCCTATTTGATAATCTAAAGGATAGTGTCCTTTCAACTTGTGAGATCTGACCTAAGTCCCAGTGGCTACGTCAGAGAAAGAAGTGTTGAGTGGCAGCCTGCAGAGAAGGGGAAAGTGGGAATTTGATTGATCCCACATTTTGAGAACTTCAACTTTGTTTTTTCTAAGTAATCTGAAACTACGTAAACGACTGCTTATAGTTCGTGTATTTCCTTCCCTTTCAAGGCACATATGACTATACACTTACATCTATATGTGACTACATTGTATTTTTAAATTATAGATTCTGTTTTCTATTGCGTCCTGTTTTTACTTATTATTTAACGCATGTGTCAAAAATAAGTACAAAGAAATTATTATATACTGTTTATTAGAGCAGTTAATCTGAATGCATATAAGAAAAGAGAAATCATGGGCAAAACGAAACAAAAACCAGGGGTCCTGTTCACTTGCAGTTTCCCTTTTCTAGTGGGCAAGAGGTGCTAGATTAAAATAGATGGAACTTCTTGGCTGCTGGACGTGTGTCTGAGGCAGGTGTCAGGGACAACTCCCAGAGCGTGGGCCAGGGGGCTGTTCAACAGAGTGTGTTTAAGTTTTCTCCCTCTACAAGAGGAAATCGCCTGTTAGGAAAGAAAGGAGGAGGGACGATTTTTAAAACTTCCACATAAGAATGGCTATATTTTACTTTCACGTCTGGAAAGACGGTGTCGTGGAGATCGGCAAAGGGTACAAATACTTCCGCAGAATCCTTCCGCTTAAGGCAGGCCGAGGAAGGACGCAGGCGTTAGGCTTGCCGCTGCATCTTTAGGGGGCGCTCTGCGCAGGCGCGGGCCCCAGCTGATGACGTGTTCGTGCTGCCCCTCTCCCCACCTAGAGCCAACGGCGCTCCACGCCCCGGCCCCTGTGCTCCCACACTCGGGCCTAGGACTGGGGACTTCGTGAGCCGTTCTCGGGTCTGTTTGCGTTGGAGCAGCGGGGACTGCGCAGGGCCCCGCGTGCCGGTGAGCGACCTCGGACTCGCAGCCCTTAGGTCTCCGTCTGGAGAGAGGCCAACGGCGGCGTCAGGAAGAGCTGGGCCTGATGAGGAGGAGGAGGGGAGGCTGTCGAGGGCCCGGCGGCGCGCAGTGCTCGGAGGTGAAGGTGTCGCGTGACTTACCTCTGCCGGGCTGCGCCGCCTGCCAAGGGGCTCTCGGTTCGGTGCAAGTCGGGCTGTTGGGGTTGGTTCCAGACCACCACGCCATGAGCCGCCAGCAGGCACTTGGTCCCCCTCCCCCCGCGGTTCTTTTTTTTTTTTTTTTCCCATCCCTTGCAGGGTAGGCCGTATGCTAGGTTTTGTTTAAAGCGCTTTTGAAAGGTGCTGCTTTCCCTATATTTCAAACCGTTATAGAGCTAAAGTCAGTGTTTTGCGCAGGGGATCTCAACCTATTAAGAAAGGGGTGTTACAGATTTATTAATTTTTCCCATTGAGTTTTAGATTCGCGTTGGTTTTCAGTAAATTAAGAGACTGCGGTGAAAACATTGAGCATAGAGAAGAGGAGAAAGTGTCTGGCACCTCTTAATCAACGAGTTTCCAAGAGTAAATGTTATTGAACTCTTCAGTGTTCAGACGAAAATCTGGCACGGAAGCAGGGATGCCTAATCCGTTCCCGTTGCCATAGAGCCGATTGCCATCGCGACCCAGTAGGACAGAGTAGAACTGACCGATAGATTTCCAAGGAGCGGCTGGTGGTTTCAAACTGCCGGACCTTTTGGTTATTAGCGGAACTCCTAACTACTGCGCCACCAAGGATGCCTAAACCAAAAAAAAAAAAAAAGAAACAAACCCGTTACCCTCAAGTCGATTCCTAGTACCTGATAAAGTCTGTGCTTGTCCATTAGCTTTGACGAAAACACCTGTTAAAGGCAGAACCTATCAGGCAACTAACTGTTCGGTAAGGATAGAAAACCGGTCCAGCTGAGAGCCGTTTGATATTGCTTTCTACGTCTTCCCCCCAAGGCCTTCCAATGGGATGCACCTTACACCCCCGCCATCGTTAACTCAGATCCTGGAGCCGGTGCCTGTAAAGCTGGGATTGTGAGGCCCACTAAACCCAGCTCGTGGTATTCCACTCTACCCCAAGGTCAAGTGTGGGGACCAAAAAACCAAACATGTTGCTATGGAGTATTTACAATTCATAGCGATCCTGTAGGGCAGAGTAGCATTGCCCCCATAGGGTTTCCAAGGAGGGGCTGTTGGAGTCAAAAGCTAGCAGCGGAGCTCTGAACCAAGGCGCCACCAAAAAAAAAAAAAAAATTCCGGTCGATTCCTACTCTTAGCAGCCCTGTAGGACAGGGATGCTAATTTACTTCTGAACCTCCTGTAGCTGGCGAGTATTGATCGATTTGGCTCGAATTTAATGTAATTGAGCCAAATCAGTAGAAGATATGTTTTTTTAGAAGTCATAAATCATTTGCTAGGAACTTATATGGACAACTTGTACGTTGATTTTTTAATCGCGGCACAGAGAAACAGCATCTTTATTCCTCATTGTACAATTTTAAGTTTGTGTAGTGGTATAGTTTCCCCCCACTGTTTGTGCTACGTTTGAGTGCAACAAACGGAAGGTAGGCCAATTTTAAAAAGTAAACTTTCTTCATAAAGTAGTATGAATAGAATTGTTTGAAGTGTCAGTTTTCCTTATTAAAAGATGTGGATTTTTAAAAGACTTAATTTGTCCCTTCGTATGAGTGTCTAATCTATTTTTAGGAACTGATAAAAGATACATGATCAAATTTAGAGAGGAAATTTTTTAAAATTCTGCTTCCTTTATGAACTTTCCCTCCAGAAATCAGATTGAATTGTATGACGCTGTTTTTTATTGAGAAAATATGTGTAACATATGCCATCTTAACGATTACTACATGTGCCATTGATTACATTTTTCAAGTTGTGCACCCATTCTTACTATTCTTTTTCAAATCATTCCACCACTGTTAACATAAACTCAATGCACTGTAAGCAAAAACTCCTTTTTCCCCTCCACCCTCCCCTGTTAACCACTAATATATTTATTTGCTCATTTCCTATAAGTGAGATTATACAGTATTTGTCCTTTTGGGACTGACTTATTTGACTCCGCAGGATGTTTTCAAGGTTCATCCATGTTGTGGCATGCGTTTCTTTTTATGGAGGAGTGTATATACCAGATTTAGCGTATCTATTTATCTGTTGATGGAGATTTTGATTGTTTCCACCTTTCCGCTGTTCTGAAACGTGCTGCCCAGGTTTCATTTGTAGTTGAGCCTTGACTAATTTGTATATACCTAGGGTTGGGATTGCTGGGTCATATGGTAGTGATGTTCAACTTTTTGAGAAACTGCAGAACTATTCCACAGTGGCTGTGCCGTTTTACATCCCTGCCAGCAGTGGATGAGGGTCCCAATTTTGCCGCACCTGTTTTCCTTTTTTATTTAGTTTTTAATCATTGCCATTCTGATAGGGATGAGGTGGTATCTCCAGTTTTGATTTGCGTCTCTAATGGCTAATGATAACTGAGCAACTTTTCATGTGTCATTGGCTGTTTGAATATCCTTTTTGGTGAAATGTCTGTTGAAGCCTTTGCCCGTTTTTTGATTGTGTTGTCTTTTTGTTAAGTCGTAGAAGTTTTTAAATATATTTTGGATACTATAGCATTATCTGATATATGGTTCTTGAAATTTTTCTCCCGTTATTTAGAGTATCTTTTCACTTTTTTTGATAAAGTTTTTTGAACAAAAATAATTTTATGAGTTCCCGTGTATCTATTTTGTTTGTTCTTGCTTTTGTTGTTGTATTATACGATTTTTAATTCCTTTCAATTTTAAAATTCTATGACCTTAACTGCAATGTTACTGTATTACCTACCTGCAGAGGTTATTTTTTGTATAGGTATTAGTATTAAATTTTCTTACATGCTTTTAAATTCGTATTTAGTTTTCCCTGTTATTTTTGACACTGTCATCCTAAAAATTTGAAATTAATGTTCCAAATTTTGCTACTTAGTATTAATGAATTATATATAATATTTTTGAACTTATTTTCATAATTTTAACTGCCAGCTGTTAAAAATCTGCAGAATTTGATTTTGGTGCATGTGCTTAAAAGTTTAAAACAAATCGGAGGATGGAATTGAGGGGCATGAAACAAAGGGGCATGAAACTTACAAGACTGAGAAGTACTACTTTGAAACTACTTGGTGGTACATTTAATTGTACCTGTTTGTAATATGCCCAGAGCAACTTTTGCCTTTAGTGGTAATTGTTTGAAATGTAGAATGTGTTTTTGTTTAATTCTAAAGCAAATGAAGCCTGCATGTTTCTCTTCAAAAAACCCTAAGAAAGTGTAGACCATTGTCAACGTTTGAACATTTGTTACAAGATTGAAGAATATCATAATTTGTTGGAAAACCACTTCTGAACTCTAGTAAATGGTTTACTTGTTTCAGATGTTATTTTGATAGAATGTAATTCTAATCCAAAAAGGAATTTGAACACTCCCTTGAAATTTGTTCCAAATTTATTAAATCAGTATGAATGTCTAATAATGATTTTTAGTGTACTCTTTTCTTGAAGTTTAAGATTTTTCTTTTTTGGTAGACATGGGAAAGTCTTTTTTTCTCCTTTGCTTTTGTGTTCAAATAAAAACAATACTTAGATGGAGTCAAATCAACTGAAAATATGAGGAATGGATTGGTTAGTAGTGAATTCCGTAATGAAGATGGAAAATGTGGAGATGTCTCTCAGTTTCCTTATGTGGAATTCAGAGGAAGAGATAGCGTCCCTTGTCCCACTTGTCAAGGAACAGGAAGAATTCCCAGGGATGAATGTTACCGTATTGTTCTTTTCTCTTAAAGAAAGATCGCATGCATTTGCTCAAATATCATAAAAGCCCTACATTTAAGCCTTTCTCTGTGCTCTAAAACCCCTTAGAATTAAAGTTAAAATTTCCTATCTGTTATCTTTAGTCAAAAAGGACAAATGGAGAAAAACATTAGAATATTAAGGAGCCCCGGTGGCACAGTGGTTAAAGTGCTTGCCTGCTAATCACAATTCAGTGGTTTGAACCCACCAGCTGCTCCGCAGGAGAAGGATATAGCAGTCTGTTACCGTGAGGATCGCGGGCTTGGAAACCCTATGGGGCAGTTACTACTCTGTCTTAAAGGGTCACTATGAGTCAGAATTGACTGGATGGCAATCGTAAAGCAGTAGTAATGGAAACCGCTCCTCTGTCCCCAGTATTTTCCTTTTTCCACCTCCTATTACAGAGATGCATACTGTCTCTTGAGTGAAAACTCTTAGTACTATTTGAGATCTATATAGGGAATATCAGTTTCTTTGCTGCATTTTGTGTTAGAGACAATTTTTATTCCAGGCTACTTGGTTAAGACCTCAGGCTGCTAACCAGAAAGTCAACAGTTAGAATTCACCAGCTGCTCCTTGGTAACCCTATGGGGCAGTGCTACTCCGTCCTATAGGGTTGCTATGAGTCCGAATAGACTCGATGGCAACAAGTTTGGGTTTTGTTTTTGGTTCTTTAGCAGTGGAACAAGTGGAAATAATGAAGGTACCTTGTGCTCTTCTCATCATCTGGTTGGCTAAAGTTGGTATGTGACCCTGGAGAGACAGAGGGACAGAGTTGCCATATAATGTGTAGAAAAGCTATGAGAAGTGCCATGGGGACGATTACATTGTGTTGGCTTTTGAGAATATGATAGCTTTATCTTTGCAAGAATAGTAGTTTGAGAATAAAAGGATTATTGTAGTTAAAAGGATTAATGTACCAGACTAAGGTGGGCAAAAAAAGTCTGTTTTAGCAGTCTGGATATATTTTTAAGGTATAGCCAAATGGCTTTTTTGGCATATGTTTGCTATGAGTCGGAATTGACTCGATGGCAACGAGTTTGGGATGGATATGGATTATGGAGCAAAGAAGCACCTGGAAGAATGGAGCAGCCATTTATTGAAATGTAGAAAAGTAGGTTTGGGTATGTGCGTCAGAAGAGAGATCAGAAGCTCACTTTTAGATGTGGAAGTTTTGAGAGACATACTTGACGTCTAGGTGGATATATTCAGTAGGCATTTAGTTACAGAGCCTCTGTTTTTAAATTTTATGGGTGAGGAAAAGAGTAAACTACCCAAAGTACTTCAGGTAGGATATGGTAGAAAAATTCTAACTTGACTCCAAATGCAGTACACAGTGCTCATAACTTCATCAGTACTATGTATCTTCTAGGATTCAGGTGCTGTCCCTAGAGCCACGAGAAAAATTATCACTGATGAATTTTTTTTTTTTTATTGTGCTTTAGGTAAAAGTTTACAACTCAAGTTAATTTCTCATTCAAAAATTTATACACACAGAGTTTTGTGACATTAGTTGCAATCTCCGCAGTGTGATAGCACACTCCTGCTTTCCACCCTGGGTCACTGATGAATTTTATAATGGAGAACTATATATTGAGATAGTGAATTAGATATTTTTTCAATTTGGGATGAAATACTAAGTGGATGTTAATTTTTGTCCCAGCAGGTTCAGTACTATTAGTTACGGCTGTAAACTTTGAGTGCAGAGTAACATAGAACACTGTTTCATATATTCACAACTAGGGCTCATTTATAGGCTTACCCTCCATAAATATTTAAAAACAAAAACAACACTGAAGGATAAGAAAAGCCAACAAAATTCAGAATTTTTAATCATGATCATTGAAGTCTTCATACAGCTTTTGAGCGTTTTTGTGTGTTCTAGGTACCTTAAAATGTACTTAAATTACCTGTAGGTAATCTAGTAGTGACCACCACTCTACTCAGGTTTCCACGAAGTCTAGAGTGAGTGAGTGAGTGGGAACTGCTTTGTTTGCTTAGACAACAGAATGGGCTTGGTAGCAGTGATGTAGCAAATTTTTTGGTGGTGTTTTGTTTTTTAATAAACCATTTACTCTCGTTTCTCAATTTAGGTAATTAAAATACTCAGAAACTTTCATAAAACTTCTGCAGAGGATTCCCTCTGCAAGCCTAATCGCGTCTGACAGATGGCGACTTGTTCAGATGATGATGCAGTGCCTGTGCACCCTTTTTCCAGAGAGGCCAAGAGGATCGTTGCTCTGCCTGCTGCTGATAGACATCGGCTTGGCCTGGCAATGTTATACTCTCCAGAAATGAGGCGAAAACGAACTATTAGGACCCTGTGCATGACTGTCTTAGCTGCTGTTTTCCCGACCTTCAAAGGTCCTGTCGTCAAGGTCAAACCTGTCATTGATGGACAAACAGTTACTTGGCAAATGCAGTTATATGGCACCCCTCTGTTGTCAATCCCTGAAGTTCCCGATGATCCAGAACATAGACTTGGGTTATACCATGCAACGCTGAACATTCTCGTCGCATTGTTCAAGGACTCACGGGACAATAGCCATATGAGGACTGCAGAAAACAGGTTCAAGGCATTCAAGGCAGCAGTCAATACAGACATGGAGCACACACCATATCCTGCTATTAATGTGTCTGCTTATGTCATCTACTTGTCTCTTCAGCCCTGGTGTCATAGAGTCTTGCGTAGAATTTTAAGTACCAAATTCACAGGTCCAGCCGAACAGATGATGGTGCAAGTCCATATGGTGGCTCGATGGTCACAGATGACTACCCTCAATGCTATTAAAAGGTTCCTTAACGAGTGTGACTCGAGCTTGATCCTAATACCTGAAGTAAAAGAGGAGATACCCAAGTTCCATGAAGCATATGAGAGACTTCGTGAAAAAACTGGAGAATGGTTTCCTTATGCCAAGGCAATCAAACACCCTGAAGCCCAGAAAGTGAAGACGGCAGCATTTCCAAACCTGGCATCGGCAGCCCTGTACCATGCAGCAGAGACAACACCAACTATGCGAAACTATAGAGCAGGGAAACACATTAGGGGAGGGCTCCCTGAAAGCACACTTAAAAGTGCTTTTGAGCGCAAAATCTCACGTGAAGAGCGGGCAACGCTATACTCCTCAGGCATCACTGGTGAGGTGAGTGACCAAGTGTCACAGACACCGACAGAGGCAGAGTCATCCATGGATGATGATTAATGAGTTTTTGTTTAGTAACCAAAAACCCCATCATCCCTCCTCAAATAAGAAACACAAACTCAAAAAAGAAACAAAAAATCTGTAGGAGGTAATTTAATAGCTGCTGTGAGGCATACTAAAATTAGATCCATCAAGGCATTTAGGAAGGAAGTGAGAAGGAGAGGGTAGAGCAAAAAATAAAATGGTAAGTTTTTGAATGACTAGAATATGAGGGAGAGATTAAGTGACATGTAAGACGTAGAAACAAAAGGTGCTGTAGGGTTTCAGCAGAGGATTATATGTTGGCAAGATCAGGAAATAGTTTCTTGAAACTAGCTGTGGAGGGTAACCTTGAAGATAAGAAATTTCCATTTTGGAAACTGGAAAGTGAGGGATGGAAGAGTTAACATTTCAGGAGGAAGTTAGGGGAATAGCAAAAACATGAAAGGTTGTGTTTTTTTTTTTTTTTTTTTTAGTATCTGCTTCTTGATTTAAAATAGTGCAACAATATGTTCAAAGCTGAGTTAATGTAAATATTTTTCAAATTGAATACTTCAGTACTCTGGGATGAGGAGGGTCAGAAAGGGCTGGTCATAGTGGGATTGAGCATGTGGATATGTCATGTTTTAAGGGCTGTACAGGTGGTTCTGAGGGCGTTAAGGAAACTTCAAGCAGTAACATGAGCAAACATCAAAAACATGCTAGTGGAAGAACTGCATCACAAAAGACCACCTACTATATGACTTTTTATGTTAATGTCTAGAATAGGCAAATCTATAGAGAGGTTGCTTCAGGCTGCAGGGGATGGGGTAAGGGAGTGATAGTTAAGGGTGTAGGTTTATTTTTTTATTTTTATTTTTTACAGGTTTATTTTTGAGATTAAAATTGACTAGTGATTGCACATCTGAACATACTAAAAGCTATTGTACCCTTTAAATGGGATGTGAACTGTCTTGATAAAACTTTTAAAAAAAATGAATAAACATTTGCCCTTCACCTTGTATTTCTGTTCCTTTAAACATAAAGAAATTATCAACTTTACCATAATTGGAGGTTAGAGACTACTAAGTAGAGATTACGAGGCTATTATATGGAAGAAAAGGGTTATGCAATTTAGAAAACATGGAAACATCTTTATGAATACTGATGGTTTTTTTGTGGAATATTTTGTCTAATAAATGCTTGATGTGTTATATGCGTGCAGTTTTAAAAGTTCTTCGTGAAGACCTGTTAAATTTATGAGCAGAACAAAGAAGGCAGGGATCAATGATTCTGTGATAAGGTGTAGTGTTTTCAGGAAATAATCTAAGAAGTTGGGTTTTAATATTTAGCAAATTTTATGTCAAGTGGTGCTTGTTCCCCCTTTTTACAAAGAAGATTTAGTAAAACAGGTTAAGATCAAGATAGCAAGACAAAATCACACCTAAACAGTTAAAATACTGCACATAATTTTTTTTCAAGCTGCAGATAGTTCTACACAGGACAGGAAACTTGGAAGATAAGAATAAGTCACCTTTCATTTAATACTCATATTTGAACACAAGGAGGAAGTACTAATGAAGTTGCTTTGTTTTATTTAATTTTTTTAACTTTACTGTTTTAAACTTGGTCAAGGATTAAAGAGGTGGAGTGTGGACTGTTCTCTCAATAAACATCTCTAAAACTGCACTCACTACCAGTGGCTTTCCCTGCTGTGCAGATTCAGTACCAGCTCCACTCATTCAAAGCTAGACGTGCACTTCATCAGTGCTCATTTGCTGTCGCCAGCTATGTTAGCCACCCCCTCTACTGCTTGGGGACTTTATTAGAAGTATGAGTTATTAAGTTGATTTTCTTCACACAAATTTTTAAATATTACTTGTCAAGTTTTTTAAAGAAAATATTTAAATTCAGCATTGATGAGTTTATAAAAATGAGACATGCAACTCACAACTGTAGTTTACATTTTCTGATTGACCCTAATTCCTTGTTGCTGTCATCCGTGTAATTTCTAAAGAGAGCAAGTAAATATATCACCTTCAGCAGTTTCAATCAGGCTTTTAACTAGTTATCATTTACAGCCAGTTCCCGTTTGTGTATTGAAGCTTTCATGCAGTTTTTTCTGTTTTATCAGTTCCAGCACTACCATCCTGCATCTTCTTAAACAAGCAGATTGAGGCTTCCCTGAAGTGGAACCTTTTCAACAAAGCCATTAACTGTTTCCCTCTGATGTTCTGTATTCTTCTGATAGGACTTAAGGATGTTCTTGCAGGGCTTTTGATGAGCCTCTTCAACTAACTATTCTTGAAAATGATGCATCATCTCCATGAAATGAAATTTTAGGGGATTGGCTTTTCAATTTTTTGTCCAGAAGGTCTACTGTACCCTCCAGTGAAAAGATGGATCTCTTCTCATCTTTATTGTTGCCAAACAGATAATTTCCAAGTTTAGAGGACTGGCCTCTATCCACTGTAGGTGACTGTCTTCTAGAGAGAAATTAGGACTTGCTTCCTCTGCAGAGGCAACCACACTTATTTGGATAGCATGTTAGTTTGGAGTCTGTCCCCAGGGCCACTGTGGGAGCCGTGCAGCCATGGATGAAGAAGGCAGGTCAAGATAATGGTAGGATCCTGGATCATTGGGTCACAACTGGTAGAGAAGCCTCCTTATCGAGGAATGCTTGGATCCATGTGACACACTGGATCAACTGGAGATCCATGCAGTATGAAGGCATTGCCGGTTCTGGTATTTCCTGAATTCTTATATTGAAACCCAGGTGATTGAGATATTTGTTGAAACCCTTCTTCCCCCGTGCCTGCTTGCTTAGTGTGACAAAATGCAAATGAGGGAGATTGCTCCCGAGGGAGATTGCTCCCAATGGAGGGAAATTTCTGCATCTTTTGTAGACAGGTTTAGGCTTCCAAACTACAGAAGAAAGAGTTTTACCCAGGGACATGGGCACATGAGTCGTTTGTGGCAGACTGTTCCACTATTAAACTCTGAACTGCTTGTGTGTGTAGAATGGGTTAGGACATGATACTGTTAGGATCCCTGTATTTCCTAGGGCTGCTGTAAGAAACTGCCACACATTGGGTGGCTTATAAGAACGGAAGTTTACTGCCTCAGTTCTTGGAGGCCAGGAGTCTGAAATCAGGGTGTTGCATGTGTTGATGCGTTCTGAGAGCTCTGAATGAAAATCTGTTCCATGCTGTTCTAGCTTCTGGTGACGGCCGGTGATCTTGTCATTCTTTGGTTTGCAGCTCCAACCTGTGGCTCTGTCTTCACGTGGCTGTCTGTCTTCTATGTCTGTGTCTCCTTTTACAAGGGCACTGCACATATGACCTCTTGTTAACTGATACCTTTAAAGACCCTATTCCCAAACAAGGTCGTATTCACAGGTGCCGAGGGTTAGGACTTCAACATATTTTGAAGGAGATAATTCAATCCTTAACAATTGCCTAGGTTTTCTGGGGGGCAAGTAAGCCTAGAGTATTCACAGCTCATAGGTTAGTTTTCTCTGGCTGTGATCAGCCTTAATTAGCCCTTTCCATTTCCCCCAAATGGAAATGATGACCCTTTCTACCTGTGCAGCGAACTGGCCAAAGTTAGCATTGGGTTTATAAAAGCTGTCCTGTCCCATTGGCCCAACTGATGGTCTCCTGTGGTTCCAAGCATTTGGTTGGGTTAGAGGTAGAACACTCACAGGGTTCTGAGCACACAGTTGTAGCCCCTAGAGTACTAGGCAGAGGCAGTTAGATAAATTAACTCCTATGAGTTAATGATTATATTAGATACAAAGAGTTGATATGGATACAAAATCTATAATTTATAAATTTGTTTTTAAATCAATACAGGTTTTTTTCCATTTTTCTAGAAAAGCAACAATGTGTTTTTATCACAACTTTTTTAAGTGTTCTGGGGGTCTGGAATTAACTTCTCAATTCTCTTGGTTTCTGTGTTTCCCTTTCCTAAACTATCTCCTGAATAATCTCTTGGTCTTCTGACCCTTAGTTAATGGTGCTGTCTTAGTCATCTACTGCTGCTACAACAGAAATACCACAGGTGGATGGCTTTCACAAAGAGAAATTTATTTCTTCACAGTAAAGTAGGCTAAAAGCCCAAATTCAGGGCGTCAGCTCCAGGGGAAGGCTTTCTCTCTCTGTCGGCCTCCTCATCAATGTTCTCCCGGAGTAGGAGCTTCTCGGCGCAGGGACCCCGGTCCAAAGGACGCGCTCTGCTCCCGGCACTGCTTGCTTTTATGGTATGAGGACCCCAACTCTCTGCTTGCTTCCTTTTATGTCTTGAGACATAAAAGGTGGTGCAGGCAACACCCCAGGGAAACTCCCTTTACATTGGATCAGGGATGTGACCTGGGTAAAGGTGGTGTTACAATCCCACACTAATCCTCTTTTAACATAAAATTACAATCACAAAATGGAGGCCAACCACACAATTCTGGGAATCATGGCCCAGCCAAATTGATACATTTTTGGGGGGTCATAATTCAAACCATGACAGGTGCTCTTAACTCCTCTCCTTGGCCCACTGTTGTTCTCATTTTGTCTGTATACTGTTCTTTCATGACCTGTCTATTTTCATGGTTTATTTGTTGTTCTTACCCACCAACCCGTAAGTGTGTATCTCCACACTTACTGAGCTTCAGACGTATATCGACATTTGTACCCAAACATGTCCAAGACATATCACCTGTTAACATACGCAGTTGTGTCTATGATCTGGACTGTGCCTAACTCTTCAGCCTTTACTGCTCACACTTCCTGGTTCAAACTTAGACATCATGAAAACTGAACTTTGATGCTGTCTCAGTATATTTGCTTTTATCTCATGGTGTTGAAGTCGTGTATGTTACTAGGTTTATCTCACCCACCACTCTATATGCTCCTTGAGCATCCAACCTTGCTGACTCATCTTTGAATGCTAAGTACCTAATTCAGTGTATAATATTGGTAACAAACATTGTTGGCCTGAATTGAACTGAACTGAATTCAATCTAACTCAATCCTGCATTTGATAGCCACAGCTGTATGGCTCACTGGTAAATATTGGGATATCCTGATGAATGCTGCAATACTCTCTTCTTATCCGTAGGTGGAAGCAAGCTTCTACGATTAGGGGAACAAATGGTCTGTAAGTGCCATGGATATAATTGATCACTGAGGTTAAAATTACATGATCTCACTTAAAACTTAGTCTTATATGAATAATTGCATAAACTTATGGTTGCAGAAGTACTAAGCAAGGAGGAAAGAACACAGTCTATTAAACTGAGATCTTCTTGAAATGAGGTTTTTTCTCAGTCAGTATACCCAGAGTCACCTGTGATACCTCATTGTCTCACTGCCTTCGAACCTTTTCCTTAATTAAATCTTGTGATAACAAAAAGTATCACAAGATTTCACCATCGTCTATTTCCTAAGTAACCAATTATTACCACATTGTATATATCCTCCATACAGAAAACACCACGCATCGAGTGAAACACCACACACGCGAGTGCGAGTGCGAGTGCGACTATGTTTGCAGAGGATTTAACTCATTAACGGCTGCATATTCACGTTGTGGCAATATCACCATCTATTCAACATTCTCCTCTTGACTGATAATCAAGTTGATTTCACTTTTTGATAGCCCATCCACAGCGTGCCCTCATGGAGACATTTAAAACTACCCCTAAATTAGGGCTTTCATTTCTGTGGAATTGATACTCAGATGAGTAAGTGCCAGGCAGAGGCTCTGAGCTGCCACGCGTTGCGCTGCCAGTTGCTTCCCGGACCTCGCCCTGAGTGGGTTCAGTCCATCCGCTGATCGAAAGCCAGGCGCGCTCGTCAAGGTACAAGGCATTGTTGTCGGCTCGCAACTGTCATGGCCTCCCGTCCTCCTGGTGGGAGACTTTTGGTTTTAAATATAACCTCTTCCTTCATTTGATTTTCCTGGCAGAAAATTTTGTGTTCTTATTTTTCTCTTTCAAGTTTTATTTTAATTTTTTTTAATAAAGAAACATTGAAATTCACAGCCTCATGGGTTTCTTCAAATGACTTCTGATGGATAATTTTGGTTTCCGTTTTCTAATTCACTCTGTCTAGTTCCTTGTGGTCCTCATTCGTGTAGTTTTTTCTTAAAGACAGCCAATAAATTTATCAACTTCAGCACAGTTTCAGTCAGGTTTTTAACTGGCTATCTTTTACAACCTGTTCCTTTTGTGTGTTGAAGATTTCAAGCATATTTTTTTTTTTTATGCTTCTTCAGCTCCTGCACTCTTTCTTCCATTCAGCATCTTCTTGTACAAAAAATTTTAGGCTTTCGTAAAGCTGAACATTTTCAACAAAACCATTAACTATTTCCCTCTGGTGGTGGTCTACATTCCTATGAGATGGCTTTAAGATGTTTTGTCCTCATTCACTTCAGATAGAAGGGATTTTGCTGCCTCTTCCAGTGACCGTGTCTGCTTGAAGGTGAGCCATCATCACTCCATGGCATGAAATTTTGGGGGATTCACTTTTCAGTTCTATATCAAGAAGGTTGACTGTATCCTCCACTGAAAAGGCAGAGCTGTTCTCAAAGTGCTGCCAAACACAGAGCTTGTAACTCCAGAGGACTGGCCTTCACTGCAAGTGAATCCAGGGTGTCAAAAGTTTCTGTGTTCTGTCTAATATTCTTATTGATTTTAAGATACTCTCAACTTAGGCAGGAGGCAAATTAGCTAGCTCTTTTTCTCTCTGCAGTATACTGGCTTCTTGTGGAAAAAAAATAAATGAAAGCAGCATATACCAGGATTTCCCAGGGAAACTCAAAAAGACTTGAGCTTTGTGTCCATAATTCAGTCAACACTATCAGAGTATGACACACCTGCTCCAGGACTGGCTAGAAATATATTTTTGTGGCTGTTAGCAGTCCCTCTATGGCTCCAGAGGGCACTGCAGTTCTTCTCTGGCCAGTAGCTTGTAGGCTGTAACTGCCTACATGGAACCCTGGGAATGTCCTACCTTTAACCTAACCATTTCCGTGGTAAGTCTCCTCTGGATTTAAAGTTTCCTTCTGTAGTCTAGAAACCTGATCTTGTCTACAAAGGACATAGAAATTTCCTACCCTGTGTCATGGATTGAATTGTGTCCCCCAAAAATGTGCGTATCAATTTGGCTGGGTCATGATTCCCGGTTGTGTGATTGTCCTCCATTTTGTCATCTGATATGATTTTCTTATGTGTTGTAGATCCTGCCTGTATGATGTTAATGAGGAGGGATGGGCGGCAGTTGTGTTGATGAGGCAGGACTCAATCTAATGGATTGAATCGTGTCTTGAGCCGGTTTCTTTTGGGATATAAAAGAGAGAAGTGAGCAGAGAGACAGGGGGACCTCATACCACCAAGAAAGCAGTGCCGGGATCAAAGTGCGTCCTTTGGACCTGGAGTTCCTGTGCAAACAAGCTCCTAGTCCAGGGGAAGATTGATGAGAAAGACCTTCCTCCAGAGCCAACAGAGAGAAAGCCTTCCCCTGGAGCTGACTCCCTGAATTTGGACTTTTAGCCTACTTTACTGTGAGAAAATGAATTTCTCTTTGTTAAAGCCTTCCACTTATGGTATTCTGTTATAGCAGCACTAGATAACTAAGACACCCTGGAAGCAATCTCCCTTATTTGTGTCACAAGTGAGCAGGTGCTGGGGAAGAAAAGCCTCAACAAATATATTATCTCAGTGATTTGGGTTTCAGAAATAAAAACACAGGAAATATCAACTAGAACTTGCAGTGTCTTCACATTTCATGAATTTCTAGTGGAGTCAGTGGATCAATCCAAGCATTCCTGGATGAAGGGGCTTATCTTCCAGTAGTAGTGTCTCAATGAACCAGGATCCTACCATCATGTGGACCTACCATCTTCAGTCATGGCTGCATAGTTCCCATAGTGGACCTGGGGATGGACTTCAAACCACTGAGTCATCTTCAGAAGTGTGGTTGCCTCTGCAGAGGGAATGGCTTCCAGTTTCTCTCTGGCAGTCTCAGTCTCTGAGCCTCCTTGTCAGTCTACTGGAACTGCTATGAGCAGCTCCATTCACAGAATCTCTGCCTGAAGGGAAAGGAGAGAATCATCAACAGAGACTGATCTGAGGTCCTGGAGAGTGCCAGAGTTCAGGCTACAGATCTGCCTATAGATTTGGAGGATTAGGCATGATGCTAAAGGCAAGAGGTGGCCAAATGGATAATTCTATTTATTGTTTATAGTTCATTTTTTATTTGAAATGGAAATTGGCATTTAAAAGTTTACAGCCTGTTTCTGAAAGTAAAGGTTTAAGCTATCTTGGAGAAACTGCGGTGTTGAGGAACCCCTTATTATACACAAAAAAGGCACCTGCTCTCCTAGGGTTAAAATGAAATACAGCATATTTTTTAAGTAAGGGGAGCCAGATGAAGATGCTCATCTTGAAGCCTATGGAAGAAAAATGTAATAAGGGTAGGATGCAAATCCTGATGTTTTTTAGTGTACTTGTTTAGTTTCAACTTACAAACCCCTTATAAAACTGAGACAGAAAGATAATCCTCACTTTCTCCGTTTATTTGTGAAATCAGCAGAAATAAAATAATGGTAACAATTAGGACCAGTTTACAACAGGCAATTTGTGAATTTATTGTTCAGCAATATCTGTAAAAGGCTTTTATTTTATTTTTTTTTGCCTTCTTGGTTGACAACTTCGAGGTATCTACCTTCTAACAAATGCCTGAACATACGATTTAAGGACTAGCGGGTCTCATTTTTTCTGCGATTGTGGTGCTATTAAAGTCATAAGCAACATGGAAATGAACTGGCCTGGCTGTGTTCCAATAAAATTTTATTTACAAAAACAGTCAGCAGTCATATTTGGCCTGCCTGCTGTAGTCTTCTCACCCCTTAGAGATTTTTGGAAGATTACATTTAAAATTTAAATAACATTAAATTACACCTACCTTCCATATTGTGTTTTTTCCTTAATATTTAACCATATATTATTTTTTTGTTTTATTGAAACTCATTATAAATTTTTAATTTAGAACTTCTGTATTTTCTAATCTGTAAAATAATAAAT